CGTCCAGCCCGAGAACCTCAGAGAAGGAGGTGACGGGACGCGGCGAGGTGGGGGAAGGGGGCAGCCGAGGGGGGCGTGCGGGGAGATGGCAACTGTGGGAGAGGGCAGGGGTCGTGGCGGAGCAGTGGGGCCGGGCGGAGGGGCGTAAACAAGGGCCCAGGCTGCGCCGGGCTAGGGGTGTGAGAGAGGCCGAGTGGAGAGTGGGGAGTGGGGCAGCGATCCCGACGGATCGAGGGGTAGGGGCGGGGGGCGGAGAGGCTGGGCGTGTGGAGGGGAAAGGGGGCTTGTGGCATGTGGTGGTTGGAGGGTGGACAGGACCGCAGTGTGTGGGTTGCTGTGTGCAGATGGGTAAGGTGAGACGGGGACCCAAGACGTTTGGGGGGGTAGGTTTTGAAAGTGTTAAGTTGGGGGGGAGGGGAAGAGCCGAGGGTAGAATTTGGGTGGAAAGGAAGGAAACGGAGCTTTGGGGGAATGGAGAGTGTCGGCGTGACGAAGTAATGGAGAAAGTGAGGGACTGGGAGGAAAGTTTGGGAGGAAGAGGAATGGGATGGGAGACAGGACAGTGGAGCTGTGCGGAGATTAGAGGTTCAGGGGTTTCCCTTTCCTCTGTGCAAAGAAAGGCAGGACAGAGTTAAGTATCATCAGTTGCAGCCAATTCTAATTGTCAGGCCCTTAGCTTTTAATAGGGTGGGAAGGACAGAAGGGAATGGTCATGTGAGTTTGAAGAATTGGGGTTGGATGAACGTTCAACTGGATTTGCTTACCAAAAGCTCCCCAGCTTACTGCCCCCTTGTTTTCCTGCTTATAAAACGAGTGGGGAGCAGGGGATCTGGTGTCGATTGAGTGTGTAAGAAGTAAAGGACTTTTAGTTTCTGACAATTAGAAAAGCAAGAGGGAGGAAGCTGCTTTGACTATATTGGAGGCTCTGCAAGGCTGTGGCAGGCAGTATACCGAAAGAACAGGATAGCATCTAGGCAGACCCTTCTTTTACTGTTCTTAGTGCTAGGAGGGAGGGGCAAGCAAACACTAGAGAGAAAAGTTTTCTAGTGAAATGTGGGTATGTGAGTGGATGCTGTCCAGTGAGTATTTTGTTCTCACTGTGTGATAGGGAAGGAAAGGGCAAAGGTAGAATTTAGAGGCTAATTCTGGCTTGATCATATGAAGAATGTGCCACCTTTGGCTGGAAACACTCCTTTCTGAGGAAGGTGAAAGTAAATGCTCATATTGTAACAAAATAGCTGGGTCTCTTGAGGAATCCAGGGGAAGGTAGGAAGGATTCGGAAAGTAAGTGGTGTCATCCCCCCCCTCCCCCCCCCCAGTAGTTAGTTGAATTGAGGACCTTTCTTGCCATATGTCACTGAGACTGGGATTTCTTGGAGTTGGTACTGTTTTCTGAGCCTGGGGGTTTTGATGTGAGTCTCTCAGCTTAAAGTATATCTCTTCTGCCAAATTGTCTTTAGGCTTGTCTGTATTTTTGCAAGTGAGATTGACTTAACTCTTTGGACTTTTGAAGTTTCAAAACATAGCTTGAAAATTGACTTTTTCCTCCCTCTTTCCTTATTTTTCTGTTTCGCTGCTGGATTTGAATCGTGCTTGGTGTAGGAAGAGACCTTGGAAATTAAGTTTCTTGCAGAGGTAAGTCTGGAACTTTATTGTTTTCAAGTAAGGAGAGGGAAAGGGAATGGCATGAGAAATGCACTGAGGCTGAATTTTCACCTTCCCAGCTGAAGGTGGGAGACAGAGATTTGTTAGTTACTGTTTCTTTTGGTAGTTGGAGATAAGAGGGAAGGGAGAAGGGAAATTAGGTATCTTGGGCAAACCCCCAGCTTTGGTTTGTTAGTATCTTACTCCTATTGGTCAATTCTGAGAGAAACATTTAGAACATATGGAGCATTGTACTGTATGTAGTACATTGTCTACTAAATGTTACCTTTGGAGGATTGTGGAAGCAACCTCTAACTTTTCCTTTAGCTTATTCTTTCTTTTGGATGTTCGATGTTCCTGAACTCTTCTTTTGAAAGCGTGGTAATGTAATTCTGACTGCCAGCCACTTGGCTACTGTCTTCCTAGTTTCACCAGCAGAAAAGGCCTCTATGTTCTCTTGGGCATCTCTAAGATAATCCGTGCTGTTTTCAAGCGACCGCTCTTTTCCGTTCTTCCACATGAATTTCTCCGAAAGGCTTTGGAAAGATAGTGAACAACTCTGGTTCTTACAGATTTCTCAATTAAGAGAAAAACCTGTAGATAGGAGGGGGCTTCAAAAAGTTTGTGGGAAAATTCTATTATCTTTTATTTATTTATAATCATTTTACTGGGGGCTCCTGCAACTCTTATCATAATCCATACATATAACAATTGTGTAAAGCACATTTGTACATTCGTTGCCCTCATCATTCTCAAAACATTTGCTCTTCACTTAAGCCTCCTGGCATCAGCTCCTCGTTTTCCCCCCTCCTTCATGAACCCTTGATGATTTGTAAATTATTATTTTGTCATATCTTACACTGTCCGACGTCTCCCTTCACTCACTTTTCTACTGTCTGTCCCCCAGGGAGGAGGTTATATGTAGATCCCTGTAATCGGTTCCCCCTATTCTATTATCTTCAAATTCAATTTTCTCACCAAGTTTCTGAAGTCCTCTCAGATATATAGTCCATCTCTTGGCTGTTAGCTGACTTGGACCATCCTAAAGCAACAACACAACTCTGGAAAATTTAGCACTTTCTCAGAGTCAGTAATTATCCTTTGGAAACTCTAGAGAGGGACCCACAAGTTAGAATCGCAAGTGGAACCAGCAGGATCAGGACTTTGTTTATTGGCGTGCTCGTTGCTGGGTATTTGACCGTGTTTTAGACACCAAGGTTCGGAAGTTCTGCATTTCTGTTTAGAGGGTTACATTCTCATTCATCTAGGATATCTGCATAATTTAAGCCGAGTTCCCTTGCCTCGCTGCCACAGAAAGTTGAGTATATTTTGGTTTAAGAGCAAGTCAGTCACATTTTTTGAGTGCTGGAGTTACATTGCTGGAACCCTGTCTGTGTTGCTGAGTGAACTTAAACATCCTAGCAGATAACCTAAGTGGGGCAGGCTGCCGATTCGCCTGCCTGACAGCCTCCTGACAGTTCTTGGGAATGACCTGTTAAAGTTTCTTGGGAAATTTCAAAGTTTTGTATCATTGCATAAGCTGTATAAGTTGGATCAGCCACATGAAAAAAGAAGGGTCAGCTACAGGTTTCGTTTTCAGGACTTTAATAGTGGCCTCATGGGATAAGTGCAGGATCCTTTGTATCTGTCTTGCAGAGGTTGGTATTTCTCTTATCCCCACAGTGATCCAGATTGAACTAGGTCAAAATAGACCTCCTGGGATGAGGCAGAAGGGAATGTGGCCCTGTACCTACTGTGTACTTGAATGGCAACAGCAGGTGATGGAGCCAAGGTTGAAATGGGATGGAACTCTTAGTGTTAGCTGGATTTAGGAGTTAAAATGAACCTATGTCTAACTGGCTTTTCTTCTAGATGTTGCATGATGGGTTGGGATATGAGGGACCAAATGGCTGATTCCTTTTGGTGTAGGGTGGAAGCTATGTTGTCTCTTTTTTTGATCCTTGCTCCACTTAGATTAACGTTTGGAATATTCAGTGATAGTGACATTTTGAATGGGGTAGTTTTTTCTTTGGGGGCCTCTACTGTGCATTGTAGGAGCTTAGTAGCATCCCTGGCCTCTACAGTACCATCTCCCACCCCTCAAAGTCATTATAATAAAAAATAGGAATGTCTTCTCAAAATTAAACCAAATTAAATCTATTGCCATTAATTTAATTCCGACTTGTGATTATCAAGTGTTGTGTGTCCCCCCACGCCCCCCTTATGGGGACATGGGACAAAATCACCCTTGTTGCGAACCACTAAGCTAAAAGCTCCAAACCCTTAAAAGGCCTAGCTGGAGATGTAGGACTTAAAGCTGGTTGATTTATTTTCTAAGTAGCCCCACTGGCATAGTGATTACATGCTCATCTGTTAACCAGAAAGTCAGTGGTTCAAACTCACCAGCTACTCTGTGGGAGAAAGAGGAAGCTGATGTAGAGATTACAGCCTTGGAAAGCCTATGGACCTGATCTACTCTGTCCTGTAGGGTCTCTGAGCTGGAATTAACTTAACAGCAATGTTGTTGTTGTTTTCTTTTGCCTGAAATGTAGGGAATTAAACTTCAAGGGACCTAAGCCCTTTGTAGAATTTCATCGTTTGATTCATAATTGGAATTATAGTGCTTTCTTGTGTTTTGTCTTATTTCCTAGGGGCAGGTATGGGGTGGAAATGTTTCTTCATCGCCTGGGATGTAGCCAGGTCACTGAATTGGGGAGCACTGAAACAACCTGCTCTTCTGATTGATTGAATGTGAAACCTACCCATCTGTTTTCTCTGGGATTCTCATAATCAGCAGCTGGCCAAAGGGAACAGGTGGGATAGGGAATGAAAAGTTGTAGGGGGTTCTAAAGAGGCTCGGTTTTCTCATGTTGCCAGCACTGAATAAGAAGTTATTTTCCTACAGCCCTCTCCATTTGCACCCGGTGACAGCAGTGAGTGAAATAAGAGAGGAGGAGTCCAGGAACACGAGCCTCCAGTTGAATAGCTATTTTCCCAGCTGTTTTTCACGCTTTGGGTGAGGCATCTGCTCTCAAAACTAGATGTAGCTTATATTTTCTTTCCACATATCAGAACTTATGACATGGAGCTAAATGATTGCAGGGTTGTAAAAATAGTGACCCATAACTGTCTAACCTTCTCTCACTTCAGGAGGGGGAAGAGGGAATCAACATCAACCCAAGCCTGCTTATTATGAAGTTGATGGTCCTACATACCTCCTCACTCCAATCTTTCTACTAGTTCTGACACAAGCTGCCCCTGCCACAGCAATCTCTACTTCTCTGTTGGATTCAATTACTCATTACAACGGCCACACAGAATTCCCAGTTACAGGGTTTAGTAGGGAAGTAACAGGCTATAATTCAGGATCAGGAACGGTTTAGGATACTGGGGTTTGATCAAGAAGGAGTCTGGTGGTAGGGTTCCACGTTGGGCTGCTAACTGCAAAGTCGGCAGTTTGGAGCCACGAGCTCTTCTGCAGGAGAAAGATGAGGCTTTCTACTCCTATAAGGAGTCTGAGTTTAGGAAATCCGCAGGGGCAGTTCTTCCCTGTCCTGTAAGCCTGTTTTGAGTTGGAATCGGCTTGATGGCAGTGAGTCAGACATTGTTCAAGACAGCCTCTTCTCAGCTGTGCCAGCAGAGAGGCCTTCCTTGGCCCCTAGGTTTCTGCTTGGGCAAGTGCTACAAATATCTTTAGCTCTGCCAGTAAGTGCTGAGAGGCACCTAACTCTGCCAGTAAACTTTGGACCAAAGGCAATCAGCTCTTTGCTAGTCAGTGTGTCCACTGTAGTGGCCTCATTTGATAGGCCATGAGACCCAGCATGCTCTGTTGCACTGGTCTCCTGGTTTTGCTGCCACCATTTCTCTGCAGCTGCTGCTTCCCATCTTGGGCTGTTTCCAGTGTTACTGCACTACCTACTCTCGCTCTCACTGTCTTGAGTTGAGGTTCTTAGCTCAAGGCCCCTGAGTTCAAAGGATTAGCTTTTCTCATCATTTCTTGTTGGTAGGAACCCCCCTCTGCGTTCATGTGCCTTATGTACACTATCAACAAGCTGTCTGATCACCTATGAGGGCCACAAGTACTTTATTTGCAGGGTCTCACCCAATCCAAAGACTAGGGTTCAGACCAAACTCATTGCCATCAAATCTATTCTGACTTATAGTGACTCCATAGGATAGGCTACAACTGCCCTTGTGGGTTTCTTTTTTTTTTTTTAAACATTTTATTAGGGGCTCATACAACTGTTATCCCAATCCATACACACATCAATTGTGTAA